GTTCTTACAAAATGGTCAGAACGGGCACAATGTTTTGCATCTTTTTTGGGTTTAAGAAAGGCTAGGACACTCTTTTTCAAACTAAAAGTCTGGATAATATAATGCGGGGGGGGGGGGGAGACGCAGTGCAGGAAAAAAAAGGCAAAGCAAAGGGAAAAAACATCGGGGCTGTTGCTTCTTGCCTGTCATTAGGATGAAACCCGGGCACCTCCTGCCTGGTCCAGGCTGGGAGAGGAATGGAGTAGTAGCAAGAGAAAATGAAGCAAATGGGAAAGCCAAGGAGGAGAAGGGGGAAGTTTGGGCTCCAGAACTAGATGGAAACCTGCAGACCTTCTGCCAAAGGAGGAATTGAACAGCAATGGGAAAGCAAAGTTCTATCTGGAACTTCTCAATGTTTAATTCAACTTCTCAATTGGACGTTCTCAATTTTTAAAAATAATTTTGGGAGCTTATAAATCTAAAGTATGGTAGGCACAAATCACTGTCTCTCTCAGCCCAGGGTTGCTTGGGCCAACCCAGTTGCTGCTCAGAAGACAACATGACTTGCACATCTGCTTTTCTGGCTTAGTGGGAATGTTGACTGTGAGTTGATGGATAAACAAAAATAATGAATTGGGGGGAACTCATTCCTATCTATCATCTCCATCTCTCTCTCTCTCTCTCTCCCTTCTCACCCCTATGGGTGATATGTGTCTGCCTCAATCTTGGGTCCTCTACCAGAAGCCTGGGAGTTTGAGTGTTCTGCACAGTATCTTAGCTGCTCCTAGCACTGCACTCTTCTGGACAAAGAGCTCTGATGTTCCTGGAATCTGTTGGAGCCACTCCCCCAGCTTAGGAGTCACAGCCCCGAGTGTTCCTACCACCACTGGGACCACTTTGGCCTCTACTTTTCACATCCTCTTTAGTTCCCCCTTCAGGCCCTGGTATTCTCTAGCTTCTCATGCTCCTTCTTCCTGATGTTGCTGTCACTTGGCACCAGTACATCTATCACCACTACTGGTCCTTGTCTACTATCAGTGTCTGGTTGATTGGCCAGTACCTGCCTGTCCCACAGGATTTTAGCTCTGTTATTCCTCACAACCTTCTGTGGAATCTCCTGGACTTGGGAGAGTCTAGCCCATACACTGTGCAGATGTTCCTATACACAATGCCAGCTACTTGGTTGTGCCGTTTAGTGTATGCTGTTTCTGCCTCATCTTACACCCTGCCACTATGTGTTGGACTGTCTCTGAGTTCTCTCTGCACAGTCTGCACCTTGGGTCCTGTCTAGTGTGGTAGATTCCTGCTTCTATGGATCTGGTGCTTGGTGCCTGTTCTTGTGCTGCTATGATCAATGCCTCAGTGCTATCTTTTAGTACAACCCTTTCCAGCTACTGGTAGGATTTCCCAATGCCAGCTACCTCAGCTATCTGTTGATGGTACATCCCATGCATCGTCTTGTCTTGCTGTGGCCCTTCCTCTGCTTGAACTTCCTCCCATGTCTGCTGCTGCCTCAGGGATTCTGTCAACAGCTCATCTTTGGGTGCCATTTTACTCATGTACTCCTGGATGCTCTGGGTTTCATCCAGGACAGTGGCTTTGACACTCACCACACCCCATCCTCCCTCTTTCCAGCTGGTGTACAGTCTCTGGGTGTTGGACTTGGGGAGGAAACCTCTGTACATTGTGAGGAGCTTCTGGGTCTTCATGTCAGCAGCCTCCATGTTCTCCTTTGGCCAGCTCACTATACTGGCAGAGTATCTGATGACTGGCAGGGCGTATGTGTTGATGGCATGGATCTTGTTCTTCCCACTGAGCTGGCTCTTCAGGACCTGTCTTATCCTTTGGTGGTACTTGAATGTTGCTGTGTTTCTTGCCTCCTCATTGTGGTTCCCATGTGATTATGGGATACCAAGGTATTAGTAGCTGGTCTGTTTATCTGCTATGTGGCCCACTGGTAGTTCCCCCCCTTCAGCCTTAACTACTTTCCTTCTCTTTACTACCATCCAGCCACACTTCTCCAGTCTGAATGACATCCCAATGTCCTCACTGTAGATCCATGTTAGGTGGATCAGTGAGTCAATGTCTCGTTCACTCT